GACTTTACCCGGTAAGCCACAGCCACGAGGCGATTCACAGATTTAATAGAAATGGGTTAATTTAAGATAGAAGAGTTAGCCAGAAATACACTTAAGCTATTGGCCAAACAGTATTGCAAATAATATACTTTCTGGGTGATTATTTCGAGTCAGGGCTGTTGGGAAACGAACGAGCAGTCTCCGCCTACAGAAGCCAAAGCCAAGTCGAGAACATCTGGGTTCCCTGGTTCTTTTATATAAGTTCATCGTGTAAAACAAACTTGGCAACAAGTTTTATAGGATTCTTCAAATAAAACATGTTCTTTGACGTGGTACATCCTAACACAGCTAAGTTTTGTCGAATGCTTTTGATATACCTGGCACTTGTTAGCCTGGCTTGACACAATGTTCTGCGTTACTGTCCGCAGTAAAATTTGCACAGGATGAGCGACTTTACTGCTATCTCGTGGGCTCCTCTCACTCACAGTTCCTGCCCCACCGTCTGCGTGGCGGTGTAGACACATCCATGCAGGACACGAAGGGAGCCAGCGGCAGGAGGCTGCTTTCTGGCCTGTGGTGTAGTGTCACCTCTGATGTGCTAAGTCCCTCGGCTTCTGTCCCAGAGATCATGGGCTTATCGCTCCGTTAGCAGTCAGTCGGTCATTGTTTCCTCAGCTGCCTGCAGATGCCTGGCTGCAATGAGCTAACTTCAGAATAACCTGTGTTGTCCGTTTGGACGTTGAGAGATGCCTGTCAGCGCCCATTGGTTTCATCTTGGTGTAATTACTAGTGACCTTTCTTGCTGGCAGCACTGGGCTTGGGTTCAGTATCTAATGAGCCTGCTCCTGTCTTGCAGCTGGAGCCTGTGTGGTTCATTCTTCCACTAGCCTGGGCTGTGCCCTGAGGACGTGCAGATAAAGGAAACCACCTGCTAGGAAAGGAGCTCACAGCAGCTGGAGGGAGCAACAGGATACCGCCGAGGGCTAGGCAGATGTCACAGCAACAGTAAATGATCATTTCAATCCCAGGAGCTAAGGTTTCCTAACCCTGTCTTTCTCTAGTCTGACTTTGAGAGGTTTTTAAGGCCAGCAGTGTAAGCATCTGACCAAAGTGCCCAGCATTTCTTGCAGTCTCCCACACCTAGGGATCTGGCAGACTCAGGGGTCAGTATCTAAGCAGATGTGCGTGGACAGGTGAACAGGGAGGCTTCCGTCACAGAGGTGACTGGAAAGGAGTGCTGTGAATGTCTGAGCTATGGAAAGCTGCAGGGTTTTCTGTTTTGTTTTTCGGGTCCAGCTTCCAGCACAAACCACGTTCACAGGCATCTGTTTACAAAGGCATGGGTGAGATGTAGGGGTGTAAGTTAGCAAAGCTCCCCTAACGGAGCCCCTTAGAAATGCTTGCTGGGCGTGGTGGTTCTTAAGCACTTATGGTGTGGAAGCAGGAGAATGAGGAGCTCTGAACTGTATGAGAACTAGCTAACAACCCTTCTGAAAACAAAAGGGAGGAGGGGGAAGAAGAGTGGGAGAGAGAAGAGGGAGGGAGGGAGGGAGGGAGGGAGGAAGGAAGGAAGGAAGGAAGGAAGGAAGGAAGGAAGGAAGGAAGGGGTGTCAGTCTACATCCTGCTGTGTATTTGCACCTGCCATGTCCTAGCCTCTCCCGTACTTTGCATTAATCCCCAGCCCAGCCCAGTTGAGCTGGAGGATGCTGGAAAGGAAGTATGGTTTTTGGGATTCCCTCCACCTGCTCTAGGTACCTGGCCCGCTGCTGAGTTCCTTGCATTCTGAGTGAAGGTCGTAAAAGATTACCCTAGTGGCAATGGTGATTACCTCATTCTAGTGTCCTGTGTCCTCAAAGCCAAGGGCAACCATGAAGTCCCCTCTACAGCGGTCAACCATTGCTAACAAGGCTGACTCTGGCAAAGAGAGAAATCTGAGGATGAAAGATTCTGTTGCCTTTCTCTAATTAACACACGGAGGTAGGTCACTTTCTGGTTAGCACTGGGAGGCCACTTAAGCTTAAGCTTTATGTTCTCAGAATCTTTATACTTTGAAGATGATGGTTAAAATCCCATGCGTTATTTCATTGACCAAGCACCTACTATGTCAGGTGTTGTATACAGAACAGGGAAAGGAAATGGCCATGGCCCCTGCCCTCGCCACGGCCCCTGCCCTCGCCACGGCCCCTGCCCTCGCCACGGCCCCTGCCCTCGCCACGGCCCCTGCCCTCACTGTGGTCAGATAAACCAGCTTTGAAGAGGGCAGTGTTGGGCAGAGGTACCGCGGCCCGCAGGAGCAATCCGCGGTGTGAACAGGGAGGAAAAAGGAGACAGAAACCTGGCAGCTGAAAAGACTGTGGAGGAAGAGTTCCAGGAAGAGAAAACTGGAAGGTGGGGAGCAACTAACGGGAAATTTCCTAGCTGTGGGAGAGAGGTCTAACTGAAGGACCCGCTTCAAGGTAGAGGACGGGCGAAGCTGAAGGATGTCAAAGAGTGACGGGGCTGTAAGAGACAAGTCAGCAGTTAGTGCTCTTGGGACAGTGGGACGGTGCCGTCAACATTCATCCCTCCCTCAGTCCTCAGACCAAACATGAGATGCTGTTGTATTTCTTTTACTCTGGCTTGCTGTAATTCCAGCAGCCCTTCTTCCTGCCTGTATTCCTAAGCCCGTCACGAAAGGTCAAAGACACGTAAGATACTCACAGGAAGTTCATAATAAAAGGGGTCTAAGTGGGCATGACATCACCCATGCACCCCCCCCCCCGTGTGTGTGTGTGTGTGTGTGTGTGTGTGTGTGTGTAAGCGCACATGTGTGATGAGCACTCGAAGGCATTTCAGACTCAATCCTCGAAGTTTCGGTGTGTGTTGTTCTCACAGGGCGTGCGTATAGCTCAGTGCTTTAGCTGCTTCGGGTTCTCAGTTTTGTCTTGACATAATTGCATAAAAGCTGTATCACTTAAAACCGTTGATAATCCCCACACCTGGGGAGAGGAGGCAGGATGGGGAGAGACGCAAACAGGGTCTCTGGTGTAGGGCTTGCCTGGCGTTCACAAAGCCCTGGGTTCAGTCCGTAGCAGCAAACAAGTGGTGACCTATGCACGCCATCAAGTACTCAGAGAAGCTGGAGGTGGGAAGATCATGAGTTCAAGGTCATGTTCATGTTAGGCAAGTATTCTATGAAGCGAGCTGCATTCCTAGCTGAACTCTGCCTGGATTCTAGACCCTTAATTTCAGCTGTCTGTGGAATCCGTCTACAAGGGCTGGGCTTGCTGACATAAACTACTGGCAAACACTTGTGGTCCAAGCTGTGCTAAGAGCTCTTCATTCATTACCTAAATAACCTTCATAGCCATCCTCAGACTTGCACCCCTGTGTACACAGATGGTAAACACAAGGCCTTGAGACTCACACCTTTGGAAAGTGGCAACTCTCAGTCGGGAACATCCAGCTGTGTAGAATGAAGGGTAGCACGGAACTTTAGATTTATGCAAACAAATGTGGTCTCGTTCCCCTGTCTCAATCCTTGAGTCCTCATCTTGTCGGTTCAGTATATAAATGCCACCACCTCTCTGCAGATCCTACACAATTGAGAGCCTTATTGCACCTAGAACCCGTCCTTCCTTCCTTTAGTTTATTCCATGCTACAGCTGTCTTGGACACAAACGTAAGACCTGGGTGAGAAGCCGTCCGTCTGGGTGGTTTTCCATCTCTCACCTCCTGTCCCTCACTGCTCTGTAATGACGCCTTTTGCTTTCTTTGTATTTTTCAGGAATGTTTACCCTCGCAGAAGTTGCTTCCCTTAATGACATCCAGCCAACGTACCGGATCCTGAAGCCATGGTGGGACGTGTTTATGGATTACTTAGCGGTTATTATGCTGATGGTAGCCATCTTTGCAGGGACCATGCAACTTACCAAAGATCAGGTGGTCTGTTTGCCAGTGTTGCCGTCCCCTGCAAATTCAAAGGCGCACGCACCACCCGCAACTGCTGAAGCCACCACCGAAGTCCCGAAGATGGAAACAGCCACTGCGCCTCGAGACCAAACCGGGCGGACAACAGATGACATTTCCTTCAGCACATCTGCCGTGACGCCTGAAGTACCTCTCCAAGCCACTCATCCTCACGCAGAGTCCACCTTTCCAAATCAGGAGCCGAAGGAGAAGAGAGACCCGACAGGCCGCAAGACCAACCTGGATTTTCAGCAGTATGTCTTTATCAATCAAATGTGTTACCACCTGGCCCTTCCTTGGTATTCCAAGTACTTTCCATACCTCGCTCTCATACACACCATCATCCTCATGGTCAGTAGCAACTTTTGGTTCAAATATCCTAAGACGTGCTCCAAGGTGGAGCATTTTGTTTCAATATTAGGAAAGTGTTTCGAATCTCCCTGGACGACGAAAGCGCTGTCCGAGACGGCCTGTGAGGACTCTGAGGAAAACAAGCAGAGGATCACAGGTGCCCAGACCCTACCAAAGCATGTGTCCACCAGCAGTGACGAGGGGAGCCCCAGCGCCAGCACCCCCATGATCAACAAAACTGGCTTCAAGTTCTCAGCGGAGAAGCCGGTGATTGAAGTGCCCAGCATGACCATCCTGGACAAGAAGGACGGAGAACAGGCCAAAGCCCTGTTCGAGAAAGTGAGGAAATTCCGTGCCCACGTAGAAGACAGTGACTTGATCTATAAGCTCTATGTGGTCCAAACCCTTATCAAAACTGCCAAGTTCATTTTTATTCTTTGCTATACCGCAAACTTTGTCAACGCCATCAGCTTCGAGCATGTCTGCAAGCCGAAAGTCGAGCACCTGACGGGCTACGAGGTGTTTGAGTGCACCCACAACATGGCCTACATGCTGAAGAAGCTTCTTATCAGCTACATCTCCATCATTTGTGTCTATGGCTTCATCTGCCTCTACACTCTCTTCTGGTTATTCAGGATCCCCCTGAAGGAATATTCTTTTGAGAAAGTCCGAGAAGAGAGCAGCTTCAGCGACATCCCAGATGTCAAGAACGACTTTGCTTTCCTTCTGCACATGGTCGACCAGTATGACCAACTGTACTCCAAGCGCTTTGGCGTGTTCCTGTCGGAGGTCAGCGAGAACAAGCTGAGGGAAATTAGTCTGAACCACGAATGGACTTTTGAGAAACTCAGGCAGCATGTATCTCGCAATGCCCAGGACAAGCAGGAGCTGCACCTGTTCATGCTATCCGGGGTGCCCGACGCTGTCTTTGACCTCACAGACCTGGATGTGCTGAAACTCGAACTCATTCCAGAGGCGAAAATTCCCGCCAAGATCTCTCAGATGACCAACCTCCAGGAGCTCCACCTCTGCCACTGCCCTGCCAAGGTTGAACAGACCGCTTTTAGCTTCCTTCGAGATCACTTGAGGTGCCTTCACGTGAAGTTCACTGATGTGGCTGAAATTCCCGCCTGGGTGTATTTGCTCAAAAACCTTCGGGAGTTGTATCTGATAGGTAATTTGAACTCAGAAAACAATAAGATGATCGGACTAGAATCTCTGCGGGAGTTGCGGCACCTTAAGGTCCTTCACGTGAAGAGCAATCTGACCAAAGTCCCCTCCAACATCACGGATGTGGCCCCGCACCTCACGAAGCTGGTCATTCACAACGACGGCACCAAGCTCTTGGTCCTGAACAGCCTGAAGAAGATGATGAACGTCGCCGAGCTGGAGCTGCAGAGCTGCGAGCTAGAGAGGATCCCGCACGCCATCTTCAGCCTCTCCAACCTACAGGAACTGGACCTGAAGTCCAATAACATTCGCACCATCGAGGAGATCATCAGCTTCCAGCACCTGAAGCGGCTGACTTGCTTGAAACTGTGGCACAATAAAATCGTGACGATTCCGCCCTCCATCACCCACGTCAAGAACCTGGAGTCCCTCTACTTCTCCAACAACAAGCTCGAGTCCCTTCCAGTGGCGGTGTTCAGTTTACAGAAACTCAGATGCCTAGACGTCAGCTACAACAACATTTCCGCCATCCCCATTGAGATCGGCTTGCTGCAGAACCTGCAGCACTTGCACATCACGGGGAACAAGGTGGACGTTCTGCCCAAACAGTTGTTCAAATGCGTGAAGTTGAGGACTTTGAACCTGGGGCAGAACTGTATCGCCTCCCTCCCCGAGAAAATCAGTCAGCTCTCCCAGCTCACCCAGTTGGAGCTGAAGGGGAACTGCCTGGACCGCCTGCCAGCCCAGCTGGGCCAGTGTCGGATGCTCAAGAAAAGAGGGCTTGTTGTGGAAGACCAACTGTTTGACACGCTCCCCCTGGAAGTCAGAGAGGCTTTGGATCAAGACGTCAACGTCCCCTTTGCAAATGGGATTTAACTAAGGAACGCGGGCACACCCGCCCACGTGCTAGGACAACTTCCTGGACTGCAGACGCTCAAGTGCAAGTTATTACAAGATAACGCATTTTAGGAGTAGAGCCGCCCTTCAGACAAAACACGGCGGGTGCACACAGGCGGGGAGCAGACTAAACCGAATGTTCAATGTTTGTAGTGTTTTAAGTCATTCATTTCCAGATCTTTTTTTTTCCTTTTTGTTTTTGATTTTTTTTTCTTTCTTTCTTTGGCTTTGTTTTTCTTCTTCTGGGGAAAGGGAAGGAAAAATTATAATCACTGATCTCGGTTCTTTTTAAATTGTAAGTCGGATGCGGCTGCTGGCTGAATGTTTACACATCGCTTGCCTGCTAAAGTAAATGATTAAATTGAGTTTCTTCTTACTACACTGCCTTTTTTGAGGTGTCGTGATTTTTTTTTTTTTTTGTGCTTAACTGGTGCAATGTCACTTAACCTTGGATTACTGAAGACACAAGGGGCCAGAATCATAAGTTTAGATTTGCTAAAATATTGACTTCTTTAGAGTTTTAATTTAAAGCAAGCAAACCGTGCGCTTTGGAGCATTTGGTACTTCTGAGACCGCCACACCAGACCGCGCAGCCTTCCTGGCCTGTGGAGTGTCAGGGCTCTGTGATGGTTTCTTAAGGACAGATACCAAAAGTGAAATAATCCATCCTTAAGTGGTCACTGTATGCCCATGGGCTGGAGCTTCGGTTATTTATGGTACACTTCTGTGCCAGTATGATAGGATTACCAATAAATAGAAAATATGTTTTTAAAAAATAAATTTAATAACAATAAAATAAGTTTATCTATCTTGTAGTGATTTGCAAGCTTCTGGTATCGTCATTTGGAGCATAAACAGATTCCGTTTCCTGCCTCTTGGCGGTGGTGTCAGCGAGGAGGGTGGCTGCTGGAGGTGGTGGTGTGTGTGGGAAAGACAGGGCTTGCCGTCCACCTAGCTGGAAGACGCCTGAGCCCGGCTTTCGTGTGCTCTTTAGTGACAAGCTGTGTTTCCTGTGTTTGTCTGTGAGGAGGAAGGGTGTTGTCCAAGAGCGTGGAGAGTGTTCTGTAGGTGACAGGGCCTGGATCAGCCTGTGGGAGGCACCCGCCTCACCTATTAGATACTAGTTGGGTAGGTCACGGACCTACAATGGTGGTCCTTTTCCCCTTCCTTCCTTCCTTCCTTCCTCCCTCCCTCCCTCCCTCCTTCCCTCCTTCCCTTCCTTCCTTTCTGGACAGGGTCTCTCTCTCCTCTTCTCTGTCACTCTCCTTCCATGTAGACAGTGTGTCGTGTACCACAATTTGACCGCAAGCTCCTTAACTATACCGCCTGGCACTGGATAACAAGTGTCCACCACGGTTCACCGGTTTATGCTGCGCTGAGGATGGAACCTAGGGTTCTGTGCGCGCTACAGAAGCGCTCTGCCCCCTGAGCTCCTTTCCCAGCACTCTCTCTCTGGAGTCTGGCTCTCCTGGAACTGGTTAGGTAGCCTAGGCCTGCCACAGAGCTTGCAGTGGTCACCACACGTGGCAGGAGAGAAGAGCTAGCTGCTTGTCACTCTGGAGTCTCCTGACTGCTGACAGTAACTTGGAAGAATCTAACAGTTGGGGTAAGAAGGGCTCATACTGACGTTGTCCTCCACAGAATGGCATTCTGGAGCACTGATGTGTGGCCAGTAGGGGTAAATCTCTGAGAGACGGTGCCCCTGGTAGAAAGACAGTAGCCACCTTCTCTGAGTTAGAAAATGGCCACACCCTGGCTCTTCGTTTCCTTCCTACAAGACTTGAGGCACGGGTCTTACGAAAGCCCAAGTGCAGAAAATCAGACAGGACAACGGTACAAACAATTTGTCCCCTCCATACACGTCTTCCCGTTCTCTCTGTATTCATGGTGTGGCCCGTGCCTGTGTGTGCTCAGCTGGACAAGGGAGCCGTGTTCCAGGAGGACATGGGCCCTGGTTCCCTGGAGCCAGGCAGGAGGGAGTGGGGATGTTGAGACGGTGGCAGTGCTGGATGACCGTGCTCTCCCGAGGACGCGCAGGAGCTGTGTGAAGGAACAAAGCCAGAGCGCGGTGGTGAATTCGCTGAGCAGGACTGCCCTGCACCCGTGCACACTGCCTGCCGCTGCTCTCTGGCTTGTAAGCACTGAAACTGGTGAAGCTTTTGGTTCTCTTTGCTTTTGGTTCCACGTTTAGAAAAGGTGCCACCTAGTCCTAACGGTGAGATCTGCAGGGCGGGCGGGTCTCGGGACATTTGCCTCACAGACTGGGAAACTAGTCTCCTGTTTTCTAATGTTTTTATCGTGACGTGTGTGAGCTCACGCTTACTGTGGCGAACGTAAGGGGTTGGAGGACAGCTTTGGGGCTGAGATTGCACTTCTCAGTGCTTGCTCATGCAGCAAGCATCTGCTGAGCCACCGTGCTGCCCCCCCCCTTTTTAAGTCACTCTGCTATAAAAATTTCATCTCTAGCCAGGCGTGACTGTGAGTGTCTTTAACCCCAGCCCACGGCAGGCAGAGGCAGGTGGACATCTGTGAGGTTAGTATACCAAGTTCCAGGCAGGGTCCAGCTCCATGGTGAGCTTCTGTTTTATTTGCTTTTAGTATTAATGACAATGAAGGACACATTCATGCTGGGTTTCTGGTGTATGTGTGTAAACCACATGTTGACATGGAGTGTCTTCCTGGTTGTTGTTGGCTTTTTACCGTGTATGTCTGCATGCTGGGAGGTGGGTGGCATGCGTATCACAGTGTGCATGTGGAGGTCAGAGACCAACTCCGGAATCTGCTCTTCCTTCCGTCTTCAGCAAGTGCCTTACCGGATGAGCCAGCCACCAGCCGTGGTATCTTTTGAGACACGTACACTCATGCATTAGGCTGGGCTTGTTGGCCAGGGATCCACGTGTCTCTGCCCGCCCACCCCCAGTGCAGGAATTCCAGGTCCATGCCACCATGCTCAGCTTCTGTGGGCACTGTGGATCTGAACTGTGGACCTCACGGTTATGTAGTGAACGACTGAGCGATCTGCCCAGCGCTCCGTGCTGACTGTAAACAGTAGAAACGGCAGGATGCCATGGCTCACTTGCTTTTCAGCGCAGAGCTGATGTATAGACCGTAGTCAGCGCTCTGCCCAGAGCTGGGCACCAGCCTCTGCCCACAGGCGTTTGCTGCCCAGTCTCTTAGAACTGGCGGGCGTTAGATGCCCTCAGACCATATCAAGAGGTGCCTTTTCCCTTCACCGGTTCCTATTTATCAGCCTTAATAATGCCCTTCGAGAGTTCACGGCCAATTGACTTAAGTGCCACATTCCGTGCCGCTGTTGGCAAACACCAGCCTTCCGAAAAGAGCCAACTGCAAACTGCTGATTCATCTGAAGACTTGAATTGCCTTGGGCTGTGGAGTCCCAGTGAAGCGTGAGGAAACAGTGGGGCCTCAGGGCTGTGTGCCTGCACCCATGAGTCCTCACGAATCTCTTCTACGCATGAGACATGGGAAAAGTAAGTCAGACATGGCTTGGCTTAAGTCTTTGTCCAAAGTCCCCTGAGCTCCCTTCTGAAGAACTCTGTTTCTGGTCTAGGAAGAGAACCCAGCAGAACCTTGTCCATCCTCAGTAAGTGGTGTATCACAGAACTATACCCTCAGACTTTTAAAGTTTTCTTTCCTTTAGAGACAGGGTCTGCTTTGGGTTGAGCTGCCTTCTAACAGACAGTATAGCCAACAATGACCTTGAACTTGGAATCTTCCAGTCCTCTCACGTGCTGGGACTACCGTGTGTGCCTCCTTTATCTTCCCGTCTCCTCCCACATGCTAAGACTACCATGTGTGCCGTCATACCCTGAATACTCATAACTTGGTGCTGGTGATGAACCCAGACTGTGCATGGTAGATAAGAACTCTACCTCCATTTCCAGCCCCTAACGTATGTCTAAGTATTCCATATTTAAGTGAAACCCCACGAGGTCTCAGAGAACATGAGTTTCTCATGCTTAGCCCTACCCTGCCCCCAACGTTGGGTTGGCTTGAAACAGGAGTCGCTGTCTCAATTCAGAAAGGTAGGCTTAAACTCATTACAGAGACCTCCTTTTTAGTAATGGAGATTTAGTAATTTAATCGGTAGGAAGATTTTCGAGTCTAGGACGTGTCGCCAGCAGGCCCTAATGTGGTGATGTTTTTTATGTACAAAGGGAGGCCTTCTATTCTAAGCCTCTTTGGTACTTTCTGTAACTACCTCCCCCGGTTTCCACATTAACCAATAACCAGACCCTTCAAGTTGCTGATGGCAGCGAACTCCAAAGTGCCCTTGACTCCGGCACGCAGCCCTTCTTTCCACACCTTGCTGAAGTGAAGCCAGAGAGCTTTTGTTAGTAATTCATTCCAGTAAAAAGGCCTCTTTCTCAGCTGAGCTCCTCAAACAAAGGCTGTACAGTCCAAAAGCCCCTTTCATAAAAAGAAGGGAAAAGGGACTGAATCCTAGAAACAAGTATCTGAATGTCCTCTGACTTAGGACTGCCACACAGAGTGGCCCTGTCTGGTCCTGGCCAGCTGCGACTCTCCTAAAGAGTGGTACCTGCTGGAGGCTGGGACAGCCTGGGGCAGGAGCAGAAGGACAACAAACACAATGAGCTCTGTCCCCAGTCAGTCCTGACTAGCACGGATGTGTATGACAGTAATTGGGAATGAAACAGTTTGACCGTGGTTTAATTTTTAATGTTGAGGATGGGACCCAGGCTCTTTGCATAAGTGCCACGTACATTCTCGCCCTCCGTGATGTCCTGCCAACTCCTTAATGACTTGTTTTGTTTTTTGTAAGGTCTCAATATTAAGTGAGGCTGACCCCGAGCCAGGAATTACAGGTGTATTGCCACACATGGCTAAATACAGTGCAGATGACACAGGTCCATGTACATGTTCCTCTTTTTTGTGGGATCCCTGAGACCCTTTGCTTGGAGTCAGCCCTGGAAGGTATCCTTTCAGAACCCCACGTCTCCTCCCACTCTGTCGGACCCCGAACCCCGGAAAGGAAACACCACACTGCCCCATATCTGTGGGAGGTCCCCTCCTTACTCCTAAGAGTCAGTCTGCAGTGATGTCTTAGATTGGAATTTTGCCCCGCTCCCAACTGCAGGCTCCTCAACCCCTGTTTCTTATCATAAATGGGAGGCAGTATTGCCATGGGGCAGTGTTTTTCACATAGGGTCTTTTCCCCATTCTCTTATGGAATGTGTGTATGAGTTGAATGAGGTATGTCACTTATGGTGACAATACTGTACCTGTTGGTTAGCAGTCAGTAACACTTTGGTATTTTTGCATACACCTACCTCCATGGCATGGGCCTTGGTTTGCCTTCTCTGTCCTTGTTTGTGAATTTTTCAGTGGGTATCTGAATAAACTCAGAATAAACTGTGGATAAAATGCAGATCTTTCTCAGCCCTATTTGGGACTAAATGTGGCCATGCAATTGAATTCTGACTAAATGCCTGTAATTGGGGCCTTAAAGGAAAGGGCAAGCCACCCACTGTCCCCTTTGTGATGTTTAAAACCCACATAGAAATGAGTTCAGGTCAGACTGATGTGGTACTGGAGGACAACAGAAGCCACCTGGGTTCCTGACTACGAGGAGCAGGGTTGCATGAAAACGAACCTCTGTTGACAGCTGTCAGCTGGGGAGTATTGTGGGGGAGGGTGGGTCCCCGTGCGTGCGGCAAGTCCCGGAGATCTTAGTGTGACTTTGGTAATTT